TCCGTAAGGGCTTCGCCCCCTGCCGCGGGCCCCCTCTCTCGGATAATGCGCTATGCAAGAGCTAAGTCATGAGGCCTGGGCGCTGTCGTGAAGCAGTATCGGAACTTCATGCGAGGCCGACTCGTAATGAGCAAAACCAATAGATGACCAGAGAGGTTACCACACCTGGCGATTGGTAAGACGTCGTGGCCCTGCCGATCTGCGTGAGGGGTGCCGCGGAATTTCAGAAATGTGGCAAATCCCATGTGTTTTTGGACCCTGACCCTGCCGATCTGCGTGAGGGGTGCCACCGAATTTTAGAAATGTGGCAAATCCCATTTGTTTTTGCACGCTGACCCCGCCGATCTGCGTGAGGGGTGTCACCGAATGTCAGAAATGTGGCAAATCCCATGTGTTTTTGCACGCTGACCCCGCCGATCTGCGTGAGGGGTGTCACCGAATGTCAGAAATGTGGCAAATCCCATGTGTTTTTGCACGCTGACCCCGCCGATCTGCGTGAGGGGTGTCACCGAATGTCAGAAATGTGGCAAATCCCATGTGTTTTTGCACGCTGACCCCGCCGATCTGCGTGAGGGTCTACAAACACTTGGGATTCGCCACATGTCTGACATTCGGTTGCACCCCTCACGCAGATCGGCGGGGTCAGGGTGCAAAAACACAAGGGATTTGCCACTGGGCACCGAGAGGCGCTTTTTGCGCAGCTTTCCGGGTGGCCGCCGGGTTGGGCCGAGACCCCACTGGGAGCATTGAGCAGGTCCCAAGCCATTCGGATGTTTGGCACGCCGTGCGTGGACTGGACTCCTCTCGGAAGCCTCGTTCTCGTTTTCAGTCGGGCCTGTCCCTCTACAGGGGGAATCTTCAAAAATAGTAGAAAAACAGTTTGGGGATTCTTTTGGGAATCTTTTTGGGCATCTTTGGATCATTTTTAGACTAGTTTTTATTTTTCATACAGAATCCCCCGGTAAGGGGACAGGCCCGACCTAATTCTCGTTTTCTCCGCAGCGCCTCTGAAGGCTCGGGGGGCCAGCTCGGGGACCTGTTGAAGGCCTCGGGTCCAATTGGTGCCAATTGGGGCCCCCTCGGATTCCTGTCAGTGCCTGCGGCAAGGTGGCGGATTTACGTCAAACGTCTGTACACTACTCGCGGACCACCTCGCGCAACCGTGAATCTCCGAAGGTAGAGCAGGCGCCTTCGCAGAGCTCGTGACGGCAGGGTGCCGCTGCGATCCTCCTTGAACATGCGTCGCTTTCTCTTGTCGCCTGGAGTTACCCCTCGAGCGCGGTGCGTCAAAATTCGGGGAGTGGGCGTGCGGTGTTGTCTTTGCGGCGTCGCAGCTGCTTCTATCTGGCGGCTTCGAAATAATTCCCTGCACCAGTACGTCAATGGCAATCATATTCGTGGGTGAGAGCTGGAAGCAAACACACACAGGGAGCTACGGGGACCTCGGCGGCCCGAGAGAGAGAGAGAGAGAGAGAGAACGCAACACGGAGCGAGACACTCACACACGACTTTTTGGCCGCGGCGCTGGCGGTCGCCGCGCGCGCTCGAAGCTGCGTGGGCCACGAGAGGGATGAACGGCACCCAGCGGGCAGGTGGACAAGAAGAGGCGGCTGCAGAGAGAGAGAGAGAGAAAGCACAGCAGCAAGAGGAACGCGGGCAGGGAGCGGCCACGGCACGCGTCGGGCCGGCGGCCAGGGGCGCCTGACCGCAGGAGCGGCGCGGCTGCAGAGCACGGCGCCGCGCTGCCCGCAGGGGAGGGCCGTGGGCCGGGAGGGCGCCGACGCTGCCGCCCAGGAGCCCGCTGGAGCCGAACGCGGCGGCTCAAGCCGGCCAGAGCCCGGGGCGCCTGCGCGACACGCCCACAGCAGGGGGCCGCAGGCGACTGCGGGAGCGCAGCGGCCACCGAGCGCCGTCGGCCTCCCGGAGCACGCGGGCGCCGAGGCGCCCGAGCAGCTCTGGGGCGCCCCGCGCTGGGCGGCGGGGCGCAGCGAGGAGGGCGTGTGGCGGCGGCCGCGGCGGGGCCCGGGAGAGCAGCGGGGGACACCTCTGGTGCGATGGGGCGAGTGTCCGCCACTGTCATGGGTAGGAAAGGGGGGAGGAGGGGGAGGAGGGGGAGGAGGGGGAGGAGGAGGAGGAGGAGGAGGAGGAGGAGGAGGAGGAGAAGGAGGAAAGGAGGAGGAGGAGGAGGAGGAGGAGGAGGAGGAGGAGGAGGAGGAGGAGGAGGAGGAGGAGGAAAGGAAGACGACGACCTCCCCTATCCTCCCTTCTCCCCCGTCCTGCCTGGGGTAGTGGTGGTGGACAATCTGCCCATCATGGTGGGCAAGACGCCGGGCTGTGTGCAAAGAGGCGCTGCGGCGCTGCGAGCGGCACGGGGCCCGGGAGACGGACGCCCAGGGTTTCCGCGGCGACGGGGCAGCGGCCGCCGTTGGCAGCGGGGAGGGCGAGAAGGGCGTCAACCGATTTTTTGGGGCCCAGGTGTTTCCCCAGCGGTCGTTCTCGATGCGTCGAAGGTCGCTGCGGGGTCCGAAATGTGCCGGGGTCCGAAGTGCACTGGGGTCCGAAAGTGCGCTCGGGTCCGAACTGCGCCGGGTTCCGAACTGTGCCGGGGTCCGAACTGACACGACGGGGCGCGGTGGGGCTGGGCCGCGGCGAGGCTGGGCTGGCAAGAGCGCCGAGGAGCACACCCACGCACAACGAGCACCAGCAACAGCCGAAGGCAACGGGGTGGTCAGGACGCACCCCGGGGAGTAGCTGTATCGGTGCCCTGCTGTCCCCCACAGCGTTGCGAAAGGATGGAACCGTCGGAGGTCTGGGACCGCATGCTCCCGCTCCTCTCCCTCTCTCTCTCTCTCCTTGGCTCTCTCGCCCTCCCGCGTGAGGGAGCGGAGTAGGAGGAGGAGTATGAGGAGGAGGAGGAGGAGGAGCAGGAGGAGGAGGAAGAGGAGGAGGAAGAGGAGGAGGAGGAGGACCAGAGTAAGCCCAGGATCCAACAACGATGTTGTTTCCTTTCTTTCCCAAGTTCCCGCCTCACAAGTCCATGCAGGTCTTCCTCTCACTGCAGGAAGCACCCCTTGAAAGAGGCGAGCGCCCTATCTCGGCTTGCTATTCGGCGAGAGGTCCGCTTTGAAAAGGAACGCCAGCGCATTCAGGAGGGGAAAACCACATAGACACAGTTCATCGTCGAGTAAATATGTAAAGTCCTGGGAATTGTGTGTCTATTTATTTGTGTGTCCCAGAGCCCCTGTATGCATCCCTCTAATTGGTTTTACGGAAAGCAGTAAGGTATCAGATATGATAAAAAGAGTTGCGTACCAGAGACACGGCCGGCTGGGGTGATCGCATGAAGTTCAAGGGGATGTCCAGCGAGAGCTCCGTTTTGAAAATGAATCGCGCCCTCTCCGTGTACATGTTGCACGTGTCTCACTTTTGGTCATTCAGATCGAGGGGGCCGCCAGCGAGAGCCCCATGTTTGAAATGAGCAGCCATCCGTGCGTGCAGCTGTTACACATTTACAAGCTAGCTGCTGGGCGTCAAGTTTGAGGATGTTTCCAGCCAGGGCATACGTTTGAAACTGAACCGTCCTCTATCCCTATAGCTGTTGCGGTCTACTAAGACGAATGCTCGCGGCTCAAAGACGAGAGGCTTCATTTTGAAGAATCGTACCGCCCTCCATCCTCTCAGCTCTTAGTAGGCTTTGAAGACGAACGTGCCAGATGCTAGCGAGAGTGCATCATTCTTGAAGAAGGTACCACCCTGCGTCCTTGAAGGTTTGGCATAAGTTTATACAAATTGCGAGGCGCAAGTGCGAGAGCCCTTTTTGGAAAGGGAGACGCTGTCGATCCTTATAGCTGTTGAGGATATCAAGTTCCAGGGCCATCAGCTTTGATGAACTCTCGGGCGAAACGCCTGGCCCGCCCTACCGAAACGTTCGGTGGAGCAGAGAGGAGGTATGTTTCAGGGAAAAGGACGGAGGAGGACAGCGTGGAGGAGAGGATATCAGAAGGAGGAGCAGGACGACGATGACGAGGAGGACGAGGAGGAGGACCAGGAGGGCGAGCAGGTCGAGGAGGAGGAGGAGGAGGAGGAGGAGGAGGTCGAGGAGGAGGAGGAGGTGGAGGAGGAGGGGGAGGAGGAGGAGCGGAAGGGCGAGGACTCTTCGCTTCCCTCCTTCTTTCCCCCATCACCTCCTCCCCTGTCCCTTCGTGCTCCCAAGGGTCCATTCCGATCTGATGGATCCGATCCGATTTCGAATTTGCCACGGGGCTCAGTCTGATCGGATTCGACTCGCAGCCATCCGAGGCAGCTAATCTGATTCGATTTCGACTCCGTGCCAATGCATCCCGATCCGACGCACGTTCCGATCCCATCCGATTACCCCGTTCAAGCGTTCATTGAAATTGACTCCGTCTTCTGCTAAGATCGTTGGTTCGGTGGATCCTTGCTGTGTCTGTCGTTGTCTTGGCTCTCCTTCCGATGTGGTCGACCCTCCTATCGCTCCCACTTTGAACCACTCAGGATCTGTGTCCTCCCCAGAATTCAGGATCCATTCCTGGGGACCGGCTTCTCACCCCAAGCATTTTTTAATGGTCCTGGGGCCTGGTCAAGGCCTCCCATGGCCGAACACGGCATAAACGTGCTTTTCTTCACGACGTGGGGATGTAAGGGTTCCCCTTCTCCATCAATGCTCGCTGTGGGGACCTTCCTGAGGCTCACCCGAAGGATCTGTTCGACTCTAGTTCAACCCCACTTCGACTCAAGTTCGACTCAAGTTCGACTCAGGTTCGACTCAGGGTCGAGTCAAATCGACGGACGTTCGACGCAGCTTCGACGCAAGAGTGGAGGCAGCGTCTCCAGGAAGGTCCCCGGAATGAGCATGCGACTCTCCCTCCCCCCCCTCCCATCCCTCCTCCTCCCTCCCCTCCACCACCCCGGACGACGACGGCCATCACCTCCGCGGCGACGAGCCACGACGGCGGTGACCCTCGCCCCTCGCGCGACAGGAGAAGGTAACCACCACGGACGCCGAGGGCCGCGCCCGCTTCGTGTCCTCTGGCGCCAAGGCTGACGAGGCCCCTGCCAAGGCGGCAGCCCCTGCCGAGGCGGCAGCCCCTGCCAAGGCGGCAGTGACCACCACGGACGCCCAGGGCCGCGCCCGCTTCGTGTCCTCTGGCGCCAAGGCCGACGAGGCCCCTGCCAAGGCGGCAGCCCCTGCCAAGGCGGCAGTGACCACCACGGACGCCCAGGGCCGCGCCCGCTTCGTGTCGTCCGGCGCCAAGGCCGACGAGGCGGCTCCGTCCAAGGCGACCGCGCTCCCTCCCCCCTTCTGCCCTCCCTCGCATCGCGTCGGGCGTCTCCGATGCTCTTGTCGTCGTTTGCTTCTCTGGACGGCCTCGTGTCTTGAGGTGGGCCTCCAGCGTCAGCGCCTCTACGGGACTATCCTGGGAAGCCCAACATTGTCCCGATCGTCTGTGGTTTCTTTACAGCTTTCTCCCCTTCCCTCGTCCTCCCTTGGTGATTCCGTCTTTCTTTCTCTCTTCTGTTTCTGTGTCTCTCTCTCTCTCTCTTCTTTTTATGTCTCTCTCTCTCTCTTCTTTTTGTTTGTTTTCTATCCCTCCTTCTATCTTATTCTGTCTGGTAGCGCTATGTGCACATAAATATATTGGCGGAGTTTTTGCCCCCTGGCCTCCCCCGGCACACAGTGACACCTGGGGCCACCCCTCGGTAATCAATATTCACGTTTTCAGGCCTACTGGGGACCGTATCACCCCCGAGAGAGCTCTAAGGTCGCCCAGGCGGTTCAAGAGGCCACCAAGACGAGTCGAGAGCGCCCTCAGTGCGCTCCAAGACCGCCCACGATGCCCTCAAAAGGCCCCCCAGACGTCCCGACAGGCCCCCGACCAAAATGAATCTATGTTCTTTCGGTTTTAGAAAGATTTTAGTGTTCACGCTTTTCCTGGCATCAGACCGCCCATGACGACACAAGATGACAAAAGCTCGCCTCCGTAGCCATTTTGGCTCAAGTCGAATTGTGCTGGCTTTTGTGTTTGCACATCTTTCGCCCCGAATTTTACCACTGCCGGAGGCGCTCCTTGTCCAAAGCAGGGCTCGCGATCATGCCGGAGCTCATGTCAATCGTCAAGACCCCGAAGGAGGCCTTCATGGGCATGGTGGACAAGGGCGTTGGGATGGGCGGCGATTCGTCCATCAAGATCTTCCACCAGTCGTTCTACGCGGGTTGCTACATTGGCTTCGGGGGCATGCTGTCGATGGTGGTGGCTGGCGGGCTGGACAGCGCGGCCCAGGACAACCCGACCATTCAGACTTTTGTTTTCGCTGCGCTCTTCCCTGTGAACCTGCTGCTCATCCTCCTCACAGGTGGGGTGCTGATCACAGGCACAGCGGCGACCGTGCCTGCCGCGGTGTTTGAGGGCAAGCTGCACAGGATGCAGATCCTGAGGACGTTCGCGCTGGCTTGGGTGGGCAATCTGCTTGGCGCCCTGCTCTTCGCTGGCTTCGTCACAGCCTGCAACCTGAACGTTGGCCTGACTGCCTCGCTTGCCCGCAAGGTTGCGGAGAAGAAGATCAAGGAGAACTTCGGGGTCACCTTCCTCAAGGGAATCGGGTGCAACTGGCTGGTGTGCATGGCGGTGTTCCTGCAGGGCCAGGCGCAGGACATGGTTGGCAAGATGGTGGGCATCTGGTTCCCCATCTCTTGCTTCGTGGCCATTGGCTTTGAGCATATCCCAGCCAACATGTTCATGATCCCCATGGGGATGATGGCCGGCGCAGACGTGTCCGTGCTGGACTGCCTGTGGAAGAATTTCATCCCGGTGACCCTCGGGAACATCTTCGCAGGTTCCATCTTCGTGGGCGGTGGTTACTCTTTCGCCTTCGGCCGGCTGGGTAGCTCGCCGATGTTCAATATGCCCGCGAAGGAGCAGGGCTCGCCTAAGGATCAGAAGCCCACGAGCGATGCGCCCGCGATTCCACCTGAGGCTCAGGGCTTGTGAGTTCGCAGCCGGGCTGAGGGACCTCAGGGTCGCATTCTCGCCGTCTCTCAACTACCCAAGATGTCATAAGAAATGGGTGGGGGTCGCCCGCGACTGCAAACTTTGTTTGACCGTGCGGCGTAACTTTTTTCAAAGAATATCTAGATCGTGTTGAGTACAGCTCATGTGCCAGGACAGCTGAACGGCTGAGCCTTTCAAGCAGTTCTTCTGTGGCAGCCTAGGCCCTTCGCCTTATTTCTTCTTGGCAGCAATGTCTGCTGGGCAGGGTCAACCAGGTCGTGCTGCATCCGCGGCGGCGAACTTTGTTAGCCCGTGCAGATCAGAATTTATCAGCCAGGCTAGCTGAGCGGTCTCAGCGTTCCACATGCGTTTTCAGCGGCAGCCTGGGCCCTGCGCCTCAATTTCTCCGTTGCAGCGATGTCTGCGATGCAGGGTCGACCAGGTCATGCTGCTCCTCGCGGTCCTTATCCTAGTATCTGAGTGAATTCAGTCGCTGTGCCAGAGCGTTGGCCGCATGATTGAAAAACTGCGCACATGCCCACAACACAACAAACAAGCGCCACAAGACGGCCCAAGTGGCTCCGAAGAGCGCCCCAGGACGCGCCAGAGGGCCCCAGGACGGCCCAAGAGGCTCCCCCAACGGGCCCCAGGCGCCCCCAAGAGACCCCCCAGATGGGGCCGAGAGACGCCGACATCACCAGCTGGTCCCCACGAGGCCCCCCAGACGCCCCAACATGCTCGAACAAATCCTCTCAGAGGCCGCCCGAGGCCCCCAGCGTTCTTCCAAGAGGCCCCCAGGAGGCGTCCCAAGAGACCCGAAAAGCTTTTCAAAACTCATGGCGTCCACGTCATTCGCGATGGTCCTGGAGAGGCTTCGGGATCATCGATTCGGATCTCGGGTATGTTCCATGTTCCCATTCTTTTCGGGAAATATCTTGGACTTGGGGATCGTGCAGAGTTAGCAAATCGTCTACCTTCTGCTGGCAAATGCCTCCAAGAGAATGTACGATACGGATTGCCGTCGCTAGAAATTCTGGGATTCCTGGGGGGTCACGTCCGGGCGGAGAAGCCAGATCCCCGCGGCGATCGTTCAGCTTGCCGCCCTGATTTCGCTGACTGTCTGGGAAAAGACATCACTCGAAAGTGTCCCTCCCGGTCAGTCGCTGGAAGTTGGCGAGGGCTTCATTGGGGCATATACGCGGTTCGGTCGAGAGCTCAGAAACGCACTTTCACACGTATGGCCCTGCGGATCCTTGGAGACGTCCCGGAGGGCTCACTTGAATTCACGCATCGTTCGGTCCATTTGAGTTGACAAATCGTCGGGTCCATTTGTGGAGGACGACGACGATGAAGAGGAATGTGGGGAATGAGGACGACGAGGACACGGAGGGGCAAGAGGCGCAGTCCGAGCGGACGCGAGGAGGAGGAGGAGGAGGAGGAGGATGAGGAGGGAGGAGGAGGAGGAGGAGGGGAGGAGGAGAGGAGGAGGAGGGAGGGAGGAGGAGGAGGAGGAGGAGGAGGAGAGGAGGAGGGAGGAGGAGGGAGGGAGGAGGAGGAGGAAAACAGCCCCTAAGAGCACGCGGATGAGGAGGAGCAGGAGCAGGAGGAGGAGGAGGAGGAGGAGGAGGAGGAGGAGAGGAGGAGGAGGAGGAGGAGGAGGAGGCTTGAAAACAGCCCGAAGAGCACGCGGGTGAGAAGGAGCAGGAGCAGGAGCAGGAGGGGGAGGAGGAGGAGGAGGAGAGGAGGAGGGAGGAGGAGGAGGAGGAGGAGGAGGGAGGAGGAGGAGGAGGAGGAGGCAACGACGACGACGACGACGCCCGCGCCATCCTGATTGCACGCGCGCGCAGTCCTGGAAGGATGCATGAGCGGGGGGCAGAGAGCATGGGGCGGGGGGGGGGGTGCAGACAGACGAGAAAGGTGAGGAGTAGGGAGGAGTGGAGTGACGGAGGAGGAAGGGGAGAGGGGGGGAATGGCGGAGTCACCATATGAGCGAGAAGACTGAGACAGCGTGCGAGAAGGAGATTCCGTAGATTCTTCACAGCTCTCTCCTCTTCCCCCGTCCTCCTTTGGTGATTCTGTCTTTCTTTCTCTCTTCTGTTTCTGTCTGTCTGTCGGTCTCTCTTCTTTTTATTTGTTTTCTCCCCCTCCTTCTATCTTACTATGTCTGTGAACACTGTGTACATCTAGAGATACTGTCGGAGTTTTTGCCCCCTGGCCTCCTCCGCCACACAGTGACAACCAGGGCCACCCCTCGGTTATCAAATTTCACGTTTTCCGGCCCACTGGGGGCCGTTCCACCCCCGAGAGCGCTCTAAGATCGCCCAGGTGGTTCAAGAGGCCACCAAGACGAGTCGAGAGCGCCCTCAGTGCGCTCCAAGACCGCCCACGATGCCCTCAAAAGGCCACCTAGACGTCCGAGAGGCCCCCGACCAAAATGAATCTATGTTCTTTCGGTTTTAGAAAGATTTTAGTGTTCACGCTTTTCCTGGCATCAGACCGCCCATGACGACACAAGATGACAAAAGCTCGCCTCCGTAGCCATTTTGGCTGAAGTCGAATTGTGTTTGCTTTGGTTATTTGCAATCTCTCGCCCCGAATTTTACCACTGCCGGAGGCGCTCCTTGTCCAAAGCAGGGCTCGCGATCATGCCGGAGCTCATGTCAATCGTCAAGACCCCGAAGGAGGCCTTCATGGGCATGGTGGACAAGGGCGTTGGGATGGGCGGCGATTCGTCCATCAAGATCTTCCACCAGTCGTTCTACGCGGGTTGCTACATTGGCTTCGGGGGCATGCTGTCGATGGTGGTGGCTGGCGGGCTGGACAGCGCGGCCCAGGACAACCCGACCATTCAGACTTTTGTTTTCGCTGCGCTCTTCCCTGTGAACCTGCTGCTCATCCTCCTCACAGGTGGGGTGCTGATCACAGGCACAGCGGCGACCGTGCCTGCCGCGGTATTTGAGGGCAAGTTGCACAGGATGCAGATCCTGAGGACGTTCGCGCTGGCTTGGGTGGGCAATCTGCTTGGCGCCCTGCTCTTCGCTGGCTTCGTCACAGTCTGCAACCTGAACGTTGGCCTGACTGCCTCGCTTGCCCGCAAGGTTGCGGAGAAGAAGATCAAGGAGAACTTTGGGGTCACCTTCCTCAAGGGAATCGGGTGTAACTGGCTGGTGTGCATGGCGGTGTTTCTGCAGGGCCAGGCGCAGGACATGGTTGGCAAGATGGTGGGCATCTGGTTCCCCATCTCTTGCTTCGTGGCCATTGGCTTTGAGCATATCCCAGCCAACATGTTC